AGCACGGGGCACGGCACCCGGAGAGCGGCAGAGCAGCATCCACCGCCCACAGCAGCACACAGCTGCTCAACCCACCGGGGCCAGAACCCCAGACCCAGCGCTCTCACCCACAGCACAGCCCCGCGCGCCGGGCAGCGGGCGCCGCCCCACTCTCGCACTTCGACGCACACAAACGGATCGCCGCACGCGTGGGACGGCCGCAAGGGACCGGCAAAGCGCTGGCGGAGGGCTCCGATGGGTGCGCGGCTCCACGCCCCTCCCGGAGGGCCGTCCCGCCGCGCCCGAGGAGGGCAGCGGAGAGGCACGAGCGCGCGGCGCACACTTACCCCGCCATCCTCCCTCTGCCGTTCGGCTCCTTCGCCCGCGGCACGACCCGCGCCTTGAGCGCGCTCCTGGGTCTCTGCCGGGAGGGCTGCAGTCCCTGCGCGGGGCCGAGTCCGGGTTCGGGGCGCTGCCTGCGGCCGTCGTTGGGGCTCTCCGCGGGGCCGCGCTGGGGGCGGAGGGCGGCGGGCAGGGCGGCCGGCTCCGGGGGGGCTCTGTGCGGCCGGGGCAGGCCGGGAGCGGTGCCCGTCGCCCCCAGGGGCGCGGTCTGACCCCGCAGCCGGCGGGGCTCGGCGCGGCGGGAGGCGCCGGGCTCCAGCCTCGCCGCCAGGTCCCGCTGGCAGTCGCCGAGTCCCAGCAGGATCGCGAAGGTGAGGGGCAAGACGCTGGCCGCGGCGCCCCGCATGCTGTCAGCCCGCGGGGCGGGCGAGGGCCGGCGGCGCGGGGCGGGCATCCCCCCGGGGGCTGGCGCTCCGGTCCGCCCGACGGAGACGCGCCTCACTGCCCCATCTCCCCGCGGGGCTCCGCCAGCACCTGCTGCCCGTCGGGGCCGAGGATCGGGACGGGGTCTGCCGAGCGGCCCCGCGGAAGGAGGAAGAGCCGGAGGAGCGCGGTCGTCCCGCCGGCGAGCTCCGGCGTTCCGCAGGCGGCTCCGAGCACCTTTGCGCCCGCCTCTGGCACTGCCAGAGCCTGGAGGGGATGGAGGGTTTTATTTTTGGAAACCTCCCCCTTTTGCGTCTTTTTGATGCTGACATCCCCCCTCTCCAGAGGACACGGCTCAGCCCCCCTCCTTACCAGAGGAGACATTCCAGCAACACCCACTTTGGCAAAGGGAAACAAACTACAACGGAGAAGCCTTAACCCCTGCCTGACCGGGGAAGCCGACGCTCCGCCGGTTTGGGAGCCGCCCTCGTTCCCGCCGCCCCCGCTGCCCGGTCCGCAGCGAGCCGCCGACCCTCGGCGCTGCCGGCAGCACTCGGGGAGCGGCAGTGGCCGCGGCTGCTGCCGTGGGGGCGCGGAGCGGGGATGCGGGCGCCAGAGGGACGCGCCGCCACCCCCCGACGTCTGGGGCCCTCGGGAGCCGCCGCGTCTCCTCAGCCTCCTGCCTGCTGCCCTGGTGGCATCTCCCGGTGCGAAGAGCCTTACTGCCATCGCAGTCTGGTTTCTGTGCTCTCGGACGGCCCCAAACCCTGCTCGGAACTTTACGCATTTGCTTGTAGAAAAGGACTCACCTGAAAGCTCCAGGTCCCTCGGCTAAGAGACGCCTCCCAGGAGTCGCATCCATCAATAGACGTCAAGCCCTCCCATTTTCCTCCGTGTGGGCACATGGAGGTGGAAAGGTGGCTCCAAGTGGCTGCTTTAAATGCACTGAGAAGGACTGGGCGAAGAGTGCAAGTAGGTAGAAGGATGTCAGGGTTTGACCTCATGCTCTGCCACATCTCTGCTGCTCTCCACTGCCCTTGGCCATCTTGGGCAGGAGCAGGTCCTCCTCGAGGAGCACAGGCTCAGCGTCAGCTGAACACCATGAGGTATTTGGGGTGGGCTCTCCAGGCTACTTACTGCAGCCCTTGCATGCAAGAAGGGCAAAGAAACACACTGAGTGCACTCAAGTGCACACCAACCCAGACTTATTACACCAAGCTCAGGCAGGTGGAAGGTACAGCCCACTGAAGCATCTTGATGCAGAGAGCAGTTCCTGAATGTCTGCAAGAAGACACAAGTATCAGAGTGTGCATGGAGCAGCCCTTTCACTGTACCCTCATGTCTGCCTTCAGGATAGGGACTCTTGGGGCCAGATGTTGCAGCTCAACCACTGGGTTTAGCAGAAAAGTTATGTTAACCCATGAATTTATCTATTCCCCTTGCCCACCTGATGCATGGAGGAGCTGCAATAAAACACAGACTCACCTCCCATGCTCACCACTCCTCCAGGCTCTCACAGGGCCTGCTGATTGCCCTCTGCATCCCTCCAGCCTTTCCCATTGCAGGTACCCACAGCAAGGCTGAGCAGGTTCAGACTTTGACCTCAGGACTGGCAGCTGTGTGTGTGGGGCAGTGGCATCAGAGCGAGGGACAGTAGGTGCCTTGGCATTTCCTGGATGACATCACCTCTCCATCTGCTTGGGCAGAATCTGGCGTAACTACTGAAAGCTGCAAGCAGTGCCAGATAAGAGCTGAGGCTCAGCTCTTTGTTCTGAGGAAGAGGAATGTCCTTTCCATCCTCACCTAATTACTTTCTTATGCAGCAGTGGAAAGAATGTTTGTGCCTAAACCTGACACAAGAAAATTATCAATACCATAAACAAAGCCATAAACAAAGCTTCTCAAAACACCCTGGCAGTGCTGGAAGCCCTGCGGGAAGCCCTGCAGAGGACTCAGTTGGAGCACCAGTGGGATCCCCCCCCCCCCGGAGGTACTGGGTCACCCCTGGAAGATGCAGTCCTGGGCTCTGACAGCTGAGGAATGAGGTTTACAAACCAAGCACAGCCTCACCGGCCATCTAGTACCCCACACAGAGCCAGCACAGGGGCTTGGCATCCCGTCTCAAATCAGCCTGGTGTCACACTCACAGCCACCCCAGGAGCTGGATGCTGAGCCCTACCCAATCTCCCCATGCAAGCAGGCACTCCTCCAAGGGTGTTCCAGAGCTGTTTGTTCCCAGCAGCACATGTGCCAATCAGACAGGGAGCAAGGGCAGCCCGATGCAGGTGAGCCAGGGGCAATGCACAGGTACAAGATTGCCTTGTATTTAGCTCTCCCTGAAAATAAGTTGGAAATTGGGAAGCAAAGGGAGCGTGGAGAGCTGCAAGTTGGGCTGCAGCACGCTGCTCAGCAGGGGCTCAGCAGACAAACATGAAATACCTCATTTCTCAGGAACTCACGCAGACAGAGAGCGGCCGATTGAGCGGCTCGCCGCCGAGATCAAACCCATGCCTGGGAAGAGAGATTAGCAGCAGGGGAGGGTGGTGAGTGGAGTTCAACAGCAGGGAGCATTTTGCAGGAGGGCGAGCTGCAGGTGGGCAAAGCAGAAGCACCGCATCCACATCCTTGTACTTCCCTGCACCAGCTCTGGAGTGACTGAGACAGCACCAAAGGAAAGGCCAAGTTCAGATGGAGTTGTGGCACCTCCCTAAGTTCGCACTTTCCATGGCTAGCAGCATAACAAGGTGAATGAGGCAGCTTTTGGAGCTAGAGCAGAAAGGAAGAGGCTCACTGGAACCTGGAGAGAAGAGGAGCAAGGATGCACCATGGTACCAGAATAGTCCCTCCTTCCCACCATCATTATGGTGGAGAAACAGGAGTGCTTGGGCAGCTGAAAATCAAAGTCACAGTGCCTGGTGAAAGAGGCTGAGTGAGAAAAGGTGTCTGTGCCCTGGAGGGGTGGCTGAGATTCAGTTCTCCTCCAGCCCTCTCAAAGAATAAGGAGCAGGGGTCCCACTGTGCCTGGACCCCTTGCACTCTCATTCTTCCACCCTTCATGTCCCCATCACCTCTGCAACACCCCCTTGGCTGGGTAGCACCGGGAACCATGCTTCCAGGCCAGTTGGCCCGCAGATGTAGCTCCTGGCACCACATCCCTTAGATAAATTAGCTTGTTTTCTTCCTCTTCTGAAGGGTTCACAACCCACATGTGCTTCTTCCTCTGCTGCGAGTGGACCCCTAACGCGCTGCAGATGGGACACATTCCATGGATTAAGGAGCTGCCTAAAGCTCGTGGGCTAAGAAGGAGCATTTCCCTGGCTGAAGGCTGAGGTGCAGGAGAAGGCCAGCCAGTCCCCCAGGTTCACAGATCATGGTGCACAGCCAGTCTTTTGGAGGCACAAGTCACAGCTTCTGAAAAGAGCCACCTCAAAGGCACATTAGCCTGGAGAGCTGGATGGAGAAACAGCTTCCAGGCAGCAGTTCATCTCTGAGGGCGCTTCTGGAACCAAGGACATTGAGGAAGCAAGAAAAGCAGATTCTGGACCTGAAAGCATGGCCAGCAAAGACTCCAGAAACACCACTCCAAGCCTTGACTTTCCCATGAGAGACACAGAGTTCAGTGCTTACACTAACAGGATGCCCAGGGAAGATGTTCCCAAAGGACTGACAAGCTGCAAGGCAGGTTTTGGGAACAGCTCTGTCCAGACACTCATGCTGGCCCCTCCAGCCACCTTCATCTGCTCTTGATGTGTCCATCCCTTGGAGCCCCAGGACGCATCCCAGCCTTCTCTTGTGAGGAGAAGGCCAGCACATTGTCAGAAATCAGAACAAAAACTGTCTGGCAGCCCCTAACAGAAAGCCAAGGTTTTCTGGGTTTGTTTCTCCTTTTGTCTAACCATCTCCAAGATGAAGGAGAGAGGCGCAGCAGAACCAAGTGGGTGTCCCACCATTGGGCACTTTGGTGATACTGTTGTATGAACATGTGTCCATGTATTACTGAGGGCTGAGACCACATGCTGGAAAGGAGCTTACAGCATGAGAGCAAAACATGCCACTGTGAGGGAGAAGAAATTTGGAGAGCAGGAACAGATGGCAGAACCCAGGGGATACGAGTGAAGAGTGAGGCAGAGAGGAGATTGCTGTGGGCTACTGCTACAGAAAGGCTCTGGTGGAGCTGGCTGCTGAGCACAGCTAGCTCCTTATTTATCCATCACAGTATTTCAACCCTTCAACAACTCTTCAAGAGAAAGAAGAAAAAAAAAATACAGAGAGAAAACTCAGCTAGAATGTGACTCATGCAGAGCTAGCGTAGCTCAGAGGAACCTGTCCATCTGTAATTAATGAAGTCCTGTTTTCATTGATCTGACTGCGGCCTCCCCTCACACAGCCCAGGAGGCTGGGGCTGGCTTCTCTATCTCCTCATAGCTGTGGCTGGAGCTGCATGTGGCAGGGAGAAGGACCCTACAGACTGGACAGCCCTGGCCAGAAGCCCATTTCATCATGCCTTCCTCAAAGGAGCGAGGCTGCTCAGGGTGTCCACCCCATGAGGCTTCAAGCAGAGCACACACTTGGTGCCTCTCAGGAAAAGAGAAATGGAAAGAAAGAGTGTGAGGAAGATTTTCCAGGGGCAGGTTGTCACACACTGACATCCTGAGATCAGGTCCACAGGCCGCTATTCTCAGCAGAAAGCTTGCCTTCTTGGCGGCTGGGACCACCCCAGGAACAGTGCTTCCAAGGAGCCCACAACCTGAAAGAAGGAAAAGACAGATCCAAGCAAGGTAACACAACACTGTTGTTGGACAGAAGAAACAAGATAATGCCAGACAGTGATGAAAGAATTTGTTCTGAGAATATCCTGCCATACGGAACTCTTCTCAACAGCACTGCATTTTCTCAGCACATCAAAAAGACCAGATACAAACAAACAAACAAGCCTGTAATCAAGCTTTGAATTCTACTGAGTGTTTGGGATTAAAGTCATTTAATCTTCTGATTAAATGCTTTTGATTTCAAAGCAGTCTTCCTAAAAAGCTATGACTTTTGTTTTCTTCGAGGTTTTGGTCCTGCTTTACAACATTCCACTGCTAAATGCATAGGGAACTCAGACTAGAAGTCCTTCAGCCCAGCAGATTGATGTGTCAGGAGAAAACTGGTGGCAGCCCTGCAGACCCCAAAATGGAAGGACCCTGGCTGATGTCGCATTTGTATTTTTGCTTGATTACTCTGTCATCCCAAGATGGCACCAAATTTTAGGTGCTTTCCTTCCAGTTTGGAAGCTGGAAGAACTGTGATCTCAGTTTGTTACAATGCTATCATTTCAAGTCAATTTTAAGTGTCTTAATAATAAGTGAATCTTAGAGAGCTGCAAAAGATGAGAGTGATAAGGTGGCGTGTGTTGGAGCTCAAGTAGTCAGTCACCAGGCAATGAGTAGTTCATTTACACTTTACAGTCCCACTGGGTAATTACTGGGATTAGGCTGCGTACCCAGTTTCCCAGCTATGACCTCACAGGCTGGGAATCCAGCCCTCTGCTGACATCAGAGCTGTGAGCGCTGCCCCCACCAGCTGCCCGCTGTCACCCACCCTCACAGAGGTGTGGCCCACGCTTGTGGACCCACAGCTGGGTGCGGGCTCTCACCAGAAATAAACTCTCATTCCTCACTGTTATAACAAGGAAATAAATGTAGCGCTGGTGCACCCCGCAGGTGCTTGCCCATACAGCCAGGGCTGCCTCTCCTAAGCTGGCTCCAGTGCTGCAGATTAGCAGCTGGGGGCTACGGGGACATTGTGGCACAGCCCCCTCTTCCCTCAGTCTGACTCCAGTTGTTATGAACTACGTCTGACCTACAGCTCTCTGCCTCACCTGTCCCTGCCCCGGCATCCATATCCTATATGGCACCAGCCCCTTGGCCCCTGCTCAGCTCAAGCCTCCAGCTGGCTTTGGGGCCACTGCTAGAAACATTATAGCACACCTGTTCTTCAGATGAGGGTTTACAGCCAAGGCGAGCACATCTGGATTGTGAAATAGACGCTTGGAAGTTTATCAACATGTTTCCAAATAGTCTGGGTATGGCAGCGGCTCTGTCTCAGTGCTCTACTGGAGGAAGCAGCTGGCCTGGGTGGATGGTTCAGCACCCTTCTCACGCTCCGCACAGGCCAGGCTGAGCTGCACAAACGCACGTGTCCCTGAAAACCCAAAATGCCTCTTCCTGACAGCACTGTTCCAGGAAGCCATGTCAGTGAGGCTCTCAGAAGGGAGCAGGAAAGGGAAAATTCAGTGCCCTTCCCACCCCCAAACCCGCTGACGCAGCGCACCCATCCTGGCCCCAGGCCAGCAGCTCCCCAAAGCTCTGTGCTCGTATTGATGGTCATGGGGCTGCTCTCCACTGTGTGTAAGGATGTGCTCTGGCAGCTCTGTCCTGTACCAGGCATGGCCGTCAGCAACCTCCAGGATTCCCAGCAGCATCACACTGCCACTAATGGGTTTGTCAGCACCACGCGGATGTGAGCAGGGATCATGGCCCGCTGCCCTGGGCCACTTCACGTGCACAGCTCTGCTGTTGTATGAGTTTCTCAGATGTGCATCGCTCATACCCATGCTCACAACAGACCTCCCACACAAATGCAGAGTAAAACACTGATTTGGTTGTCTTCCCAGCCATCTCTTGCCAACAGAAGCACAGCTAATACTTACGAGCATGAGGGACAAGGGGGCAGGAGGTGCAGAAGACCTGTAAGCTGCTGTAGCAGGAGATCTGCTTGGCTTGCGCAGTAGCTGTTGCTTCTACAAGACCATTGGATGTCCCAGGTCTGAGCTCACAGCAGCTGATGATCAAACCTTCTCTCAGTAGTAAAGCAAGTGACACTAGATACAGATGTACTCCTGAAAACCACTCCCTGCTGACACCCAACAGCAGCTTGGCTGACAGCAGAATCTGCAGTCTGCACTCACCTTCCATCTGCTGGTCCACCTGCAAGTAAGGCAATGCTCTCATCCTGCAGCACTCACTGCTCTGCTTCCTTCTCCTGGACTGCCTGTCCCTGAAGGGGAAACCTCTTCATTTCCTCTGTGGCTGAGCTCTGCACAGATATCTACAGGAACCAATGGCACAAAAGGAGACACTGCTTTCAAGGTGGACCAGACCTTTACTTCTATTGCTGTTGACTATGAGCATATCTATTCTTTAGAGGCACCAATTCAAAGTAGTTCCAAGTTCAGAACACTTCGATGGGAGAGGCTGGGGAGGAACACAAGTGGAAAGGCCAGAGGCAACACCATGCCTGCAGACACTGTACCTTCCATGACAGTGGTGCAAATGCATTTCTATAGCAATTTGCATTCAATCAAATTCTTCATCCTTACTATTCACTTTAAGAGTCTGGAGCTGGAGCCGCAGATCTCCCAAAAAGGCCTGGAAAGAAATGCATCCTTACTCAGGGGGACTAACTTGAGAGCGTCAGCACAGAGAGAGCTGACAACTTCTAAACAGAGCCTGTGATGATGGGGTTGGGGACAATGCCCCAGGGTGCTGAGACTGGGACCAGAGTTCAGTCTGGCTCTGATACAAGTTTCTTCTTCTGTCTCAGATAAGCACCTAGCTTTGGCCCTCAGTGACAAAATGGACAAGAGACCATCCCACACACACACCTTGTTTGCCCACATCCTCGCTGAGACCTGTGGCATTGGAGTGAGCCAGGTTATATTGAAACAAAGAGCATAGTGCAAGGGAAGAATTCTGAATGAAGGTGAGAGTGGTATGCACACCAGTTCTTAGGCAAAACAGATGTGTTTAGTTGCACCTACTGCTGAGCACATGTACCATTGTCTTGAGCCCATACATGGGCACAGTTTACTGCCGATGATGTCTTCCATGGGACTTGGAGAACCTGCAAAGAATGCACTACAATTCAGGGCAAGAAGTACTGTAAGACACAACAGAGGAGAATGGGTTGGAAAATAGGAAAATAAATTCATTTGCATCTTGCTAAGAAAATTAATGTCTAGATGTACCAGTAGGACCACCTGCCCAGACAGTGTATTTCTGCTGATGGAGGGGTTCATGCAGCTCCACATTTCTCAGTAAGTTGAGCTGGCTACTTCTAAACTTCCAGGTCACTGGGTCTTCTGTCTCTTCCTTCTCACTGCAGCATAGATCTGACCTCAGGCCCACCCCACACTGCTAGGGCAAAAAAGTCTCACTCGTTACAGCCAGTGCTTTGTTCACAGCTGAGCCAACCCTTCCTCCCCAGGGAGAGTGCAGCTCTGAGGAGGCAGAGGTCAAGTATGCTCTTCCCATAAGATGAGGATTTGCCTTTTGCCACTTAATCCAGACAGAGGTTACACAGACAACAAGGAGCTCCTTTGGAGATGGGAACAGCACTGTCAAGCACTTAAGGCACAAGCAGGTACAATGGGAGACCTGAACACGTGTCCTTCACCACAAACCTTTAGGGCAGCAACAAGAAGGCAGCTAAAAAAACAAAACATCCCCAGATACTTCATTGCTGTTTTGCAAAATAACTGTAATCATTACTACCAGCTGGTCAAGCTTGACACCTGATGCTCATGTGGCTTTGATGCTTAATTCCCACAGGTTGCTTCACAGCTTTGCCTCCACCAGGGAGAACTGGACACAGAACAGCCTCACCAGCACAGTGCCTGGAGGTGGATGTGTTACAGCAGCTCAGCTCAGTGCCTGTCTGCACAGTGCAGGAGCCTTCCAGCAGCACCACAGCATGTCTGAGAGCACTCCTGCTGCTTTAGCCAGCCTCGGCTGTGGCTCTGCACAGTCTGGTGCTCTTTCCCACATTCACAGATTGGTTGGAGGTGGAACGGGATTTCAGAAGATCCAGTCACCTCTGTCCTCAGAGTGGGGTGAGCCAGAGCAGGGTGCTCAGGGCTGTCTCTGGTTGAGTTTTGGACATCTCCATAGATGGGACAACCTTTTGCTTTCACTCTCATCTAACCTCTAGAACAGGAGTCTGCTGGCTTTATACCCATGGTGGATTTGGCACAACTGGAGGAGATATTGGTACCTCTTTTGGGGATGCTGTACCTGCACCATGATTCTATTCAATCTAAAGGCCCACACAACTCCTGGCTCCAGTTGCACCAGAGCTGCACCAGGAAGATGCTGACTCCCAAGTTACATGGCTGTGGTTTATCAATTCACAGAGGCCCAGAGTGAAAAGATGGGGTCTTCCTCCTACTACTGACTGAGCAAAAAGAGTAATGGTGAATCTGGCCCATTCCATTTTCCTCTGTTTCTTGCTTTCTGTTCAAGGTATCTGAATGAGCAGGGGATCTCATTTGGCAGGAAAACTTTCCTCTATCAGAGCTGATTGTCTCCAAGATTGAGGAGGACTAACCCCTATGACTCCTCCATAAACACCCTGACTCCCCCACGGCCATCCCTTCCTCCCTCCTGCTCAGCTTACAGACAGTGCAAACCCACGAGGATCCCAATCCCACACGCCTGTTTTCACTGATCTGTACCATTTTAACTCCTGGTGCTTTTCTGGTTCTAATTATCTCTCTGCAGAGCTGACGACACTTAGACATTTCATTTCCCTGAAGACTTTTTCTGGCACTCAAATCCTGATTTATGCAGCGCAGCCGTGGACATCCTAATCACCCAGGCTCACCTCTCTCTTGTTAACACCCTGGCTGGCTGAGGACCTGGACACGCCTTTCCCTCCCATCGGCAGATCCAAAGCAGACTGAACCTTTGCCCTTAGTGAAGTCAAAGCATTGGCAGGTCTCTCCTCCTACCCCTTTCCCTCTCATTCATCACTGATCATTAATCACAGCAGCCTCTTTCCGCAGGGGAACTGCCTGGACAGACCCAAACCTGCCCCTGCAGCTGACAAGCAAAATCCCGGGAACAGGCATTGAACAAGGGCAAACCCACTGCTGTCAGAAGATGCTACCAGTAGACTCAGCCTGGCCATTAACCCAGCTGCTGAGAGGACACGGTGAGCTCGGAGCTCCTCCCAGACCCCTCGGGATGCTTCCAGCAGGGGAAACAGCTGCTTCCCTACACTACCATCTTCTGCTCTTGCTGGAAACCAGTTCAGAAACAACAGTTAGGGGTCTAAACAGCTCTTAACACTTATCACCTCCTTTCCCCAGAGGTGGATCCAAATCCAAAGTATAGCTACAAGACATGCATATCTACTTGCAACACCTCTTCGGAAGAATTAAGGAGTGGCACAATGCAGTACTCAGGACACAATGACAAGTACTTCCATCCAGCCAAAGAAGCCAGAATCCAATGCTGGTTCAGCCTGCAAAATGGTGCGAGAGGTTCAGGCTGGGCATGGTACCAAACATTACAGTAGAGCCCCTCTTTATGGCCCCCAGACATTTTTGCATTTGCGAAGGCCTTTCCAAGTTTCTCTCCGCCATCCTGCTATTCTTTTTTTGGGCTGTTTCTTGCTCCTTGTCCACACTGCCTGTTTTCAAGCTGTTTTGCAGGAGGTAAGGTCATCTCTCACGAGCAATCAGCATTGCACATAACACAAGGAGGGTGAATTATCTCTGCAAAGCAAATCTTACACCTCTGTGTTGTGCTGGGACACACCTGTCTGAGTCATGTTTTGGGAAGGACTGTTCTCTGTCATAGTCAGCCTCTGCTGCCACCTGAAGAGACAGCACAACAGCACTACGGGCTGTGACCTGGATACTCCTTAAGTTCCCTCCTAGCCCTCTGCAGTGCTCGCATCCATCCAAGCCTGACAGGAGGAGGAGGGCAGCTGGACAGGCGCCCTGCATGCTAGCTAGGCCTTTGTGTACTGGCCACAGGATTTGCATCTGAAGCTGCTAACAAATGAGGTGAAGGAAAAGTCTGGAACTAGGACCAAGTCTGGTGCTGGTTTGAGTTCTGACTGCAGAGCAGCTGGTGCAGCCTTGTGGGTGATACACGACTCAGCTGTCCTGAACACCCTCGCTGAACTGAAGTTTCCCTTCAACCAAGTGCCTTATTCCACCTCCCTGACCTCCTGTAGTAGTAGGTGAGGAAACGGTCCCTGCATTCCTCCCAGAGCAGACTCCTTCACAGGGGAGAATCGAGAGATCAACAGCCCAAAGCAAACTCATGGGCTCCAAGACTGCACCAACACAATATCAAGAGCATTAGCATCCCTCAGCTCTTGCTGGGCTGAGCTCCCCATCCTGCTCTGCCTGTGGAGCTGTGGACACCCCCACAGCCTTTATGGGGATCCAGAGGCTGGAGCATGAGGTGCTCAGACGGGTGGGAGGAGGAACGCAGAGGCCATAGCTCAGGAAGTAGATAAATTGGCTGGTTGAAAATAAATACATGTGGGTATCAGGGCAATTGGCACCATTGGGTCAGGTTCTCCTACCACTGCAGCTTCTACTACTTCTCCTTTTCTCTGCTTTCTCACCATCTGCTGAGGCGACCACAGGGAGAGGAGGTTTGTGAGGGTCACCCTTAGGCCAAGACAGATGGAAAGGCCCTGCTGCAAGCACTTTCCTAGAGCCGGGCCAGACAGCTGCAGTGTGCCCCAGCCCAGCACAGGAAAAGTACCCAGGCTGTGGGAGCTGGCTCACAGCCGCACGCACAGCCCTGAGGCTCCCCTGCAGGACCTGAGCCTGCAGCTGGACACAGAGTGAATTAACAAGCTGCTTATGTCCTTCAGCCGAGTCTTGAACAAACAGATGATGCCAGGAAGTGATCCCTCTCCCTCCTGCAGACTGTCCTTCTGGTCAGAGGTACTTTTCACAGCACTCCCCAGGAGCAGAACCAGCAGCACCTTTGTTTGCTACACAGAGCTCCTGGCTGTCAACTCCCCTGTGCCTTTGAACCAGCTCCAGCCTTCTCAGCACTGCAGGCATCCAGCCTGGCCTGCTGCAGGCCTAATTAATTCCCTTGTTCATTTATGGTCTTCTGTCAATAACGCAAGTAATTGGTGCACAGAGGCAGCAGCTCCTCATTCCATGGATGTGCCCTCATCCTGCTGGCAAGCTTTTCCTTCACCAAGGCTGCCTGCAGCCATCTCCAAACAGGCTACATGCATGCACGCACCCACAGGCAGGGACATCAGGACTGATCTGATGCTGCTATGCAAAATTCTCTCCCCTTATATCCACCTGAAGTCTATGCAGAGCCTGATGGATCAACTGGGACGTGGTCCCACTGCTCTGTTACCCATTTTTCCCCCTCAGCCCTGGCACCACAGGGATGGGCCTGGGGAGAAGGTGGCAGGACACTTCCATGAGAGATACCTGGGCAGGATTAGCTCAGTGGTCCTGAATGGGAGGCAGCTTCTCAGCCTTCAGAAGCCTCCCTCGCCCCTGTTCTTTGGCCTTCTAGGGTAGGGGGAAGGGATCCCAATGAACACGTTTGTGCTGTTCGCCTTAATAGGGTGTTGTATAACGTAGGGGGAAATGACTGTGCTGGGAACCCCAGCTGAGAACAGAGACTTTAATCCTGCTGCCCAGGGAAAACTTGGAAAAAATAGTTCCATCTGTTCCATTGCATTAGGCTTGTGGCTCAGAGGCTGACAGCTGACCCTGGTTGCTCACTATGCTAGGGTACAGCCCCTGTCAAACATTGCCAGGGCAAGTGACCATGACTGATGGGAAGGGCAAAAGACAGCCAGAAAAGCTGGTGAGAGAACCCTCCCAGTGCAAGTGACTGGAGAAGGGATACAGTCAAGCTAGACAGGATCAGTACAGCTGGTCTTCCCCAGGGTCACACCAGCACACAGGGCAGTGAAGAAGCAACACAGGAAGAGAATAGGACAGGGGATGAGATGCAGGGGGAGAGATAAAGGTGTGGAGGATGCTGCAGGTGGCCTTTCCCCAAGGAGAGGGGGTTCTAGAAAGCTGTTAACAGCCAGTTCTGTGAAGAAGCTGCCTATCTGTTCCCTAATCAAGTGTTAAATTAGCTCAGTCCTAATTATCTTGAGAACTATGACAGGGATAAAGCGGATTCTGCCTTCCTCTTCCTGCCTAGAGCCACCAGCTGCCAAACACTCCTCCAGGTTTGCATCCCTGCACCAGGCTGTGAGGAAGGTGAGAGGAAACAGGGAGAAAGCTTCTTTAACCCCTGTCAGAGTCAGGGTGTGGGCTATAACAGGAATGTTTGGTTTAAATCTCATTTAGCCATGGCTGGTTTTGTTACCCATATCCCTGTTACACTCTAATCCTCCCCTGCGGGGGACAAGGAGAAACATTTCCCTTTCCTTGGTCCATCCATGGAGCAGACAGCTCTGCTTGCTTATGTGCTCGCTGCTTTGCAGTCCCTGCTGGCTGTCACTTTGCCCCTGTTTGACAAGGGACCCAGTGGAGCTGCACATTTCTTCTGCACCTCTCCTCTTTTATAAACTTTTCCTTCAAAACTTCAGTCTGTAGCAGAATGCAGACTTCTTTCCAATCCCTCATGCACTCCCAAGCCTCCAGCACCTGAAGAGCAAAGATGAGCGTGCAGTTGAGAAATGCGGACTGACTCTGTAGAGAAGCTGGCAATGTCCACAGTTAACAGAAAAGTCCATTTAATTATAGCAGGCCCTAAAAAGAGAACATCAGCTCTCTGTGCTCAACTACACTTTGCCAGTCCACACGTTAAAATTCCCTTTCCACTCTCAAAGTGATGACTAACCTGTGTCTCACATCCCAAGGGAACACATCTGATCTGGTTAGCATTACTGCTGTTGTTTGTTCCTATCGAGCACATTATTCTTACTGAGCTATTTGTCCTGAGCCTCCCGAGAGCGTGCTGCAGGTTAATGTACACATGTAAATTCAACTTCCTCTCATGCATTTTTAATGCATTGCCTGCTGGAAAACAACAGGGCAAGTGGAAGGAGTGCAACAGGGACTTGTGCTGAGCAAGGGGATGCTTCCTGGATGCTAACTTCTCACACACTCCAATTTGAGGGTTAGAAGCAGAGAAAGAAAATTATAAAGAAAACGGGGAAAACAAACAAACAACAGCAACAAAAAAAAAAAAGTGAGAGAAAAAAGAAAAAAAAATGGGAGAGAGAAAAGAAAGAGTACCCCAACATGCAGGAGATCTGAAGCCAGCCTCAGCCCCCGGTCCCACCAGGCTCCAGCTAGCCGTCGGCCCCCCCCTGGTGGCCACGCCGCTGCACCAACCTCTTGCTGGATAGACACAAAGGTGACATTTCTGTACTGTCATTTTTAGTTTCGGCAACTGATAATAGCACATGGCATGTTATTCCCGAGGCCCAGGAGTGGGAAGGTTGCATATCGCTACTTTAAGTACAGGCAAAAGGGAAGGACGCTGCCAGTTCTTCCTAAGCAAGGATCTGGAGCTGCTCCACACCAGCTGTGAGGGTTTCCACAAACCTGAGCCAGCCCCTAACCAGCAAAGTGCCTCTCCAGACACAACCGAACCTCTGAAAGCTGGTTTCATCCTCCAAGAGAACTGGAGAGAGTTGTGCTTCCTTGTGCTTCTTTATCTGCTGCAGTAAGTGGCTGTGCTGAAACTCAAGGCAGCCCCACGCTTCAGCTACTGCAGCACGAGAGCCCCAAGCAGCTGCTCTTTCTGGTAAGAGATTTCTAACATTATTTGGAAAATTGCATCAGTTTACAGGGCTTCAGAATTATGTTAGCATAAATCTCTAAATTAAGGGATGGGTATGGGCCAGCACGCTTCTCACAGCCTATCGGAGGGCTGTCTCAAGAGGGAGGGAAGAATGTGGTTTTGGCCACCATAGAATCACTCCCCAAAAAACTACCCAAATTTACTCTGGCCTTCACGTGCCTTGTAGAAAGACCTGGAGCAGCCTTAGGCCAATTCTCGTTTCTCCATCCCTCATCTGGTGCAAGAGTTTTGCTTCCTCTGCCTGCATTCACTGCAGCATTACCCCGAGAGCAGCTTGGCTCTCAGCCTCACTCCCCATTTCCAGCCCAGCGTACGCTGTAGCACGCCATTCCTGCTGAAGGGTAGTGGGGAAACACTGGTTGGGAATTTTGGGTGAACTTCAACTACAGCTGTTTTGTTTTACTGCAGAAGAAAAAAAAATTTATAGCAAATTATGTATAGAAATGAACACGTTCATGCAGCAACACCTCCCTCCTACAATCAAATTCCATGCTCTTGAGAGCAGGGATTAGTGTTTCTCACGCATTCAGTGAAAGAAAAAAAAGAAAAACACAAACAAGGAGAAAGCTTAAAATTTTCTTTTTAAAATCACAGATTTGGCACCAGAAGGCTCTTGCCAAGACAGACTGAGGTTCTTGTGGACTTGAGGGTCTCCCATAAGTTTCTTTCTTTTACAGTTCCCATAATCACATACTTAGACTTTTTCTGCTCTCACGTGCAAGGCAAGTCAGACACAGAATAGCCAGAAACATACACGTTCACTTTGGGAACAAGGAATTACTGTTTGGTTCAATTGGCAGATTCAGCCATAACATTATGAAAGAAAGGAAAAAAAAAGATATCCAAATAAAGCATCATTTCCCCAGATGCTTCACTCATTCAGGTATCTGAACAAAATCCTTATCAGCTGTTCAACAACTGAGCCAAGAAAAGCTTAGCAGTAGAACTGAGTGCACAAAAGCCATTGACGACGGCACAGCTACCTGGACACATTCAGGTCAAACGGCCACACGTAGAACCAAGGACTCCAAGCCATCAGACAGACAGTTGCTGTTACTGAAGACACGTGCTGGGGCAATGCAGATTTCCAGCATGAAGGGCACAGACCCAAGTACATGCCAAACCAAAAGGCTACAGGTTCAGCAGCAGGTCAGTGCCACTGCTCCCTCTCCAAGACACCATCAACGCAAACTGGTGGCCAGGAAAGTACACACCCTGAGGTAAGGGGCAGAAACTTTAGTGTCTACTTCATGCTGAAGTCATCCAGCAGGATGTTTGCAGGATAGAAACATACCGTACAACATAAAAACACACAAAAGTCTCAAAGAGCTTATCTTTCCTGACTTGAGCAGACCCTCTTGGACAATACAATGAAGCATGAGCAGTGCCAGGACCTGTAGCTTAGAAGTCAGGTACTACACAGTGAGTTAAGCACCAATTGCAACAACTGCATTCTTGACTCACATTACAGATTCCTTACAATACATTCTGGGTTTACCAACTACCGTGCATTTTCTGGGAGTCCCACAACAGGCTGCAAGCCCTGAAGCAGAGCAGTCTTCTAGGACCTCACAGCTCCTGGGTTCAGCCAGGCACCTGCAAGCCGCAGGTAGAGACCTGCCCTTTCCCTCCCCTTCCACTAGGCCCTAGAGACATTGGGAGACCCCAAGTGGCTCCTCATCCATAGACAGCACTAACCAGCTTGGTTACCTCTGCCAGCCCTGAAAGAACACAGAGTGAGAAGGCAGCATTTTTAAAATATTTTATTTATTGTACAAACTATTTACAAAATCAGCTACTACAACCACAGGCTTCCAAATTTTGGCTGAGCTCTGCCAGAACTTCAACAGAGAGAACTAGGGTTTGATCTGTATCATCCACAGCTCCTGGTTTCTAAAAACATGCAACATGGTCTGCAGGTGCAGGCTGAAGCCAGACCCTCTGCACTTCAAAGCTACTTCAAGAAACATGGAACTGTCTGACACGGCACCAGAGTCCTAAAACTTTTTATGTAAGTGCCTCTAGTAAACTGGGAATAAATAAGGAGAAAAAGAAAATAACAAGCCTGTCAGAAGAAACATATAGTACAGGTAACCAGAGCATACATGCTGCCAGCATTAAGGGCAGCATAAAAAGTGAACACTTTGGAAAAGAGTATAAAGCTAGAGATTAGAAACACTGCGACAGATCCAGGAACACGGAACCAACTGGGGGCCTGTGTCAATAATGGAAATGGGTTTCTTTAACTAAGAGTACCTGCACCCACCACAGTTCCGCCTGCGCTTGTGTTAAGAAGAAATTCCTTGGCTCTGTATAGCTTCTGAGAAGCATAGGATGCTGGCTGCAATGCACTAGGATTTTAGGAGCTCCTTCCAGCAGAGGAAGAGTGCCCAATGTCCAGCTACTTTGTCCTTGGAGTAAAGCAGTCCAGCTCAGTAGAAGAAGGGAGAATTCCTGAGGAAGATGTCATTGGCAGACCTGGTCCATAGCTACAAGGCTGGAAAGACAAGGTTGCAATGTGGGAAGAGCACCAGGCTCACCTCCCAACAAACAGGAGCTAAGACAAGCCACCTTCTCTCGGTCCCTAGAGAAAGCAGTGAAGTGGTGGCACAGAGAACACAGCCACAGCTGCAGCGGCCACAGAAGCCATCCACAGCACAAAGCTAGTACTGCATTTTCTACCCAAAGCTCAGGACCTTGCAAAAAGAAGCCTGCACTGAAAAGGGAATCCAGATCCTACAGAGCGCAATGGTGGCAATCTCTCAAGCTGCAATCTGCTAGCACCTTGGCGCCAGTGGCAGAATGAATTCACAAGGCAAAGAAATCCCCCTGAGTAGACTCAACGCTCAGCTTGCTGGTTTTGGCACCAAAATGGCTTGTTTCTTTCTGCACAGCCCAAGAATAGGTAAGATGCTGACTTACTAAGAACATCCTCTAGATGAAGAGCATTTCCACAAGTTCCCAGTCAATTCAACTAAGGTACACTGAAAAAGCATACACTTCTCTAAAGAAAAAAATAATCCATACTGTGCAGAAATACGCCTGGATCAGCTCGAGGATAAAAGAGGGCTAAGGAGGATGATGCGAATTTTTATTTAATACAGTGTTCTAAAGTTAGCTCAGGGGTGCCACTTTGAGACTTCACTCTGGAAGAAATCCAGCCATTCCATAATCCAGTGAAAGCTTAAATTGCAGGCATTAGCAATGCAGGATGCCCACGTCTCCTGACCTGAACTAAGAGACTGTTGAGCACTTAAAAGATCTTCAAAAAGTTTGCTTCACTGAAGAACCTACAAGCATTCACAGACTCATTTTCCTTCTTTTTCCTTAAGAAGGGCTGAAGAAACTGCCAACCAAACTCAAACCAATCATGCTGGTCTGTCCACTCCTGTCCCCACAAGTCATACAACGGTGAGTGCAATGTACTATCATGCAGGCTGTCGAGTGATCATTTGAATGAAGTTCTAATTAGCATTTTTTGCTGGAAAGCCAGCAGCCCTGAATAGAGCAGTAGGAAAGGAGAGCTCAAGAAAGAGCAGGCAGGAAGATTGGGAGGACAGAAAGCCAGCTGCTCTCCAGGCACCAACAACCCTCTGGAAACCCTGCCTGAAATGCAGTAAAGAAAGAGAAGCTTCAGACTGCTGCACAACAGAGGTAGAAGCCAAGACCCTGGGGGATGCTGGGGTGGAGGTACGGCATTGTGCCCAGAGCCATCACCCCAAGAACAAACACAAGAGCAATGTATATTGTAGCTGCTTACTGACCTGTCGCTGCTCTTATATAACATATATACCCCTGAAGGTGAACGTGGGATAGGCATTGGTGCTCAGCAATAAGGGATCACAGTCGTGCCCGTGCCCCCTCTCCTGAGGAAGGAGAAAGAAGGCAAGGGCGTGGGACAGCTTCCTGTGCAACATCATTAATCACTATCATAGACATTCAGTGGAGGAGAAATTCCTCTTCCAGTTCATTTGCAAAGGCTCATTACCAGCTGGTGCTGGAGAAGGACGCTTCTGCTGCTGGACCCTGGTGGAGGTAGTACAGAATGACTGTCAGGGCCAGCACTTGTGCTCTGATGAGACTGCTCTCCCCTTTGGGCTATCCCCTCCAGTGAGGCAGACTGCCCATTTTTCTCTGTGGCACAGGTGACAGACAACAGTATCCAGAGCAAGATGGAGGAGAACAAGAAACCCTTCTGGGCCAGGTGCTGAAAGAAAGAATCGCTCTGCACCCTTCTTGAGTGATTGAGCTAGATGAGCTGTTGTGGTGCATCAATGAGGGAGCTGAGCCAAGACACAAAAGTACTAAGGCTTCCTATGAGCCAGGTTTCCAGCAGAGCTCCACACTGGCCTTCCCTCTTCTTCCCTGAGAGCTACAATAAAGGCAGCTCAGCATGTTGTTTGCACCTCACTGCAACTTCTGCTCATGAATGTCATCTCACAGATGGATGGGTGTGCAGGGTAATCCTGCACAGTGTCTCCTTGATAAATGCACCACACTCCTTCTGCTGTTTCACACTGAACCAAAGGGAGAATGAAGGAAAGGAAAACTATGAACTCTTGATGACATATTTGAGATACAGAAAGGCCACATGACAACTGGATGACAAATTCCTTTATACAGAGTCTTTGCTCTGCCCCCATTGCCCAGGTGAAGGGAAGGAGAACAGCTAAGGGATTGAACCTGGCTCTTGCCATGAAGAACGATGTTCAAATGGCCTCCTGGAAAGGGGAAATCACAGCATGCCAAAGCCTTCACAACCCTCACTGATAGCTAGCTGCAGCATTTTGTGCACTTCTTCATAGGAGTCATAGGTAGGGAGGCACAGCTGGTTAAAACTGTAAGACAAAAGAAAAATCCCATTCAGATTAGATTGAAAAGGAGCAATCTCCATCAGCTGATTTTAGATGGGTTAACACAAGTGTCCCACAAATTATGTATAATACACACATCACAGATAGCCAGCATCATGACCAAAGCACAGTGCCAGAAGTCCTATCACTCCAGGATATTTACCAAGTGTGAGCTGTCGGCAAAGTACTGTGAGTTGGAGCTGCAATGATCTGGAAAGATGGACAAAGTGCAGCAAACCCTCCTGGAGGCAGTTGGGATGAACCAGTTGTGAACTGTAACAGCCTAGCCAGCTCTTCCTGTGTGAAACTGGAGACCACAGTCCAAAACCACCTCATGACCTGTTAGGAAACAGTAAAGGTAAAGCCAGGTCAGGTAAACAAATCAGATAAGCCTGTAAGCAGATCACAAGAAGATCAGGCAATTTATCTCACAACCTAATGTTCTAATTACAGTAACAATTTGCTGTTACCAGGATGAGACAAGGATTACATAGTTCCTTTAAGTTAAAAGATGTCTCAACACTTCTTCCCACTACTTCATTCCTTTAAGGTAGAAAGACCTCTGCTTTCCCCACAGATTTTATTTTTAGAAATACCTGTACAGACAACCAACTAAGTTTACAACACAGAAGCTCGTTTGCTTCTTGTGCTATGCTCATCTTTTGCTTTTTCACATCCTCTGCTACTTTTGCAGGAAGGTGAAACCATTCCAGTGCTTACAGACAGTAGCTTGTACTCTCACCTCTCTTCTGCTTGGGTGTTTTAGAAGTTTCCATTATTTTTCTAAATGAAGGGCTTACATTCCTATACTGTTCCCACTAGAAAGATTTGAAGGGTACAAATTTAGACTACTACATTAGTAGTCTACTGTAGCACTGAATTCCAAACACACCACATGGGCTGCAGTCATGATCTTAAAGCATCCCCACTAGCAACAATTCCCACCACTTCCTCTCAAATCCCTGCTGAACTGCTCTTAATTAGCAAATTGTTGGCTTTTTGTAAAAGGACTGCTGCTGCTAATTTTTTCCTGCTTGTACTTGATTAAACATTATTTCATAATACTTGCAGTATTGTTCTTGACTCAGATCCTCGTGTTCATCTTTCTGAAAGCTGAATTTCCAATCAAGAAAGCAAAGCTGTTTCCAGTTTAACTTGTCTTCTGCTGTAGCTGGGCTAACCAGTAACAGCAAACAAGAGACAGAAACCCTATCACTTACCTTCTCTCGGAAGTGCCAGGATCCTCCTACCACTACTGCATGTGCCTTGAAGTCACAGACACTGATATCTCCAGTACCACACATAAGCAGCTGAAAGACAAGAGATAGCAGTCAAAGCCAGAAGCTCAGGAAACAAGACGACAGCTACTGTCCAAATTATAAATCCTTAGAAAATAAGCACTTTGACATTATTCCACATCAGAAGTCTCTTCATTTGTCAGAGAGGAGGCACTGTAATGGTAGACATGCTTAGGAAGGCAGTGATTACCTCAAGCTCATTTTCATCAAAAATAGCCAGTAGATTCTCAGGAACTAACTCATTAAGACCTGGAAGAAGAGAGGAGAGAAGAGCAAGAAGGTGTTAGCCCTCAGGACATGAAGGCAGAAAAGAGAGGGGAGCAGACAGCATGTTACCTTTCAGGAAGTGATCCACCTCCTCTCTAACCTGATTGGCCAGCCTGTACTGTGCAAGTAGATTCAGATAAAATATTTTATTTTCATTTGTTACTGGTACTTGAGCCCCTCCTGTCACCAGTTCAACCACCTGAAAACAGAAGATCACTTGACATGAGCATGACCAACAGCAATCCCCAAGCCTTAAGTCCCAACCAGAACAAACACCCTGGCTAACACCCAGCACAAGGTCCATTTCTGGGGCACACAAAGTTTTCGGTCTCCCTTGGTACAGGTAGAAGGGGTTGAACTGTCCCACCTTCAGGAACTGCCTTTCTCACCTTCTCCAATTGTCCTGTTCTACTGTATTTCTCTTCAGCAAAGACCAAATCCATCTCACTCACGTCATTGTTCAGTATGAAACAAACTTTTGATTTATAGAACTCTGGATCATCCGTTTCAAAATACTGAGTAGAAAAAAAGGAAGGAAGGAACATGAGAAAGAAGAGAGATTTTCTGAAAGTTACATATATTGCTAGCTAGGATTCTGAATATGCTCCTACCACACTAACATTCATCTGTTTCCCAGATCCCATCTTCAGACAGTGCTGGGAAGCTTTTTACCTTGTAATGCATACGAAGTCCTATGATCTGAGCCAGGAAGGATCGGGTGAAACGAGCTCGCACCAGTTGTTTGTAAGCACCTCCCAGTGATGACTCATAAAGACACTTTCCTACAAGGCGGCCTGCAAATTCATACAGCTTGAGTCGTACATACGTAGGACGCCCTGGATTTGGATGCACCTGTAAAGAAATAAAAATAAAATACTGAAGTACTAGACAAGGCTATCACAGCTAGTAGGTATGAGGAATAAAGTTTAAGTTGCATCTCACTAGGTGCACAAGGAACTTCAGGGTAATACCCTCAGAGCCAAGCAACAGAAATGAAATGCCTGAGTCTATCTGTGAAGAACATCAATTGTTTCACATTCACAGGTTGGAGGCTGTGTGAGAGAACAAATTGAATCTGAAACAGTCAGACCTAATAAAACATCTAGACACTCTGACAACACCTACTCTTTCCCAAAAATGTAGTCTTCCCTGCTGACTGGTATAGTGGTAAAATTAATGATACTCAAGATTTGAGAGGATTGGCTAAGTTTGTCCTAATGAAATAACTTCTGTTCTTTCTGACCAAAAGCTAGCAGTCTGAGCTAAGGTAATACCAGACGTGGCATTCCTACAGAGTCCACCAAGATCCATCCCTCCATATTAACAAACAATTCACTGCTTGATTCCTTCTTCCATCCCAGAGGCAGGTACTTGGCCCTGTTGACTGTTCAAATGCTCTCTTGCTATGCTCATAGTTAACAAAGCTGTCTGGCCCATCTTAAAACTGTATGTGTGTTATTGTGCATTTGGAGTCCCTATATTCTCTGGTAGTGACTACCCTCTGCTTTTCATCCAGCTTTTCATGTTTCAGTGGATTCAGATCATTAAGCAAAGCTTTGAGGAAGGCAACAAAGTGTCTGGATAGGCCTCCTAAAGGATGGGTAAGGCTGCATGCTTCTTAATAAATTTAGCAGCAGCATTATTTAGCCGGCAGCATGCCAATGCAGAGCTTGGACTATTCAGTACAGAAAACTGCAGACTCACCAAGGCCTGGTTGTTATCACTAAAGCGGGTAAAGAGTTGACTGGTGGTATCAAATAATGCCTTACAGATGAGCTCAAACCACTCTCTGCGTGGACCTCCCCAGTCCAGAGCTATAAGACAAAACAAGTTCAGACGTCACCCACAGGTCATCAGCTCAAGAGTTTCATGCATGCAGTTCAGTACTACCTGACGGGAGAACTAATCTCAATGAACAGCTCTCCGTAGCAGAAAAAGCAGTAAACAGGGACTCGAGAACACCAGGTTCTGTTCCCTGAGTCCTGATACACACATTTTTACTTTAAGCCTCAGGTATCTATCTGAAGTGGTGATAGATAGTACCAGAAGGTTAATTCACCAACATCCGTGAGAAGGTGAGAGCTAGAAAATCACAAAGGACAGAGACTACATGAAACCAGAATTTCAGACTAAGAATTCTACTTCCTCCTCAAACAAAGTCACAGGATAACTCACCTTCTTCATCTTGAAAAACCACTTCAAAGTTTTTGCTCCAGTCAGAAACAGAAAAATTTCGTGTTGCTTTAAAAGACTGCAAATAAATTAAAAAAAAAAAAAAGAAAAGAAATGTAAAATAGCGGCAGCTGTTACTGCTTGGCATCCTGTAACCAATACTTGTCCAATATGTGGATGGACAAGTGAAACTACACAGAACATAAGAAACACAGTCCAGTACTTTAAAGTACAGAACTGAGAACTAGGAACTCCTGAGGTCTAATTCCTACTTGTTGAAAGCCATAGAAGTCAATTACTCATTTTCTATTAAGAGGAGAGAAGCACTACCCATGCAGATCTAGCTCATCTTAAAACCAGTATGAGGTTCAAAAACAATAGTCTTAGCACAACCCAGATACATCCCTCCCATGGCTGCAGTATTGTTTGAAGTATTAAAATGCTGGTGGGTAGGAACAATTTCTGTAAAGCACTTTCAGCCCACGAGTCAGATTCAAAAAAGGAATCTTTCAGAGAACATTAGAAAATAGCTTGAAGGGTTCACTGAATTCATACTTAAAGCAATTCACAATGCAAAAAAGTAGCAATCCTCCAGGTGCCTAGAACTTCTTTTGTCCCAGTTATGGATTTCAATTAAAGGAAAATATTATTTAGCAGTCCTCAACCATACGGTTTGCCTTGGCTTAATCCATCTTCAAACAGGTTAGGCACCATGCTAGTCAATTCTTTGGGATAAGCACTGGTCACAGTTTTCATGCCTGTCAGCCTCGTACATTAGAACTTACACTTATTATTATGGCACTGAATTTATTTTGTCTTACTAGGCAGTAACACCAGTGCAAATGATGGTGCAGGAATTCCAACAATAGCAGGAAAAAATCCTTCTAACAGCATTTCTATGACTAATGCCATTCTGTATCACGCTATTAACTGAAACATAATCTTGTAAACAGTGCAAGCTTGTACGTGCAAAAAATAATCCAAAACATGGATTTACTGAATATATCCCAGCCAGTCCTGCTTTCTCCAGAAATGTTCTTTTCCATCTTCATAACATTTCTGTTATGAGACATATGGAAACAATAAGTCAGGATAACTGCCTGCTCTCTTTACATGGTATTCAGAATGTCAATTAAGAAATGTATTATATGAATATATCAGATCAGCTTCAGTGAAGACTCAATCAAGGACTCTACAGAATATTTGACGGCTACAAGCTCATCAATGCATATGTGCAGTTCAGTCATACTTGATGTGAGAGCTCACGGCACTGAATGGCTGTATAGAAGAAAGAGTAAGCAAGGACTTGGGAACTCTCAGGTTCTGACCCCAGATCCAATTCAAATGATCAGTGTCTGTCTGAGCCCCAAGCCCCAAAAATCACGACAACAGTACCAGCATTCCTGCATTTACAGGCCATGCAAGCATTTATGTGAGACATTTCTCAGGGCTATTTTTTTTTTTTTTTTTCCTCCTTAATCAGAGCTGAAGTATCCTCATTACTAAGGAAACAGACAACATTTTACTGGCTGTAGAGGAAGAACACAGCATCCAACAGCATGTTACAACATCTGAACACAAAGGAGCTACCTTAAGATTTTCTTCTTTTTCCAGCGTCCAGCTTTCTACTGGCATCTGCCAGTGGGCAAAAGGACTAATCATTTTTAGTGTGGCAGCCCTAATAAGTGCCAGTTTGGATTTCTTTAGGCATCGAGATGAAGAAAAAGGATGGAGAAGTGCTGGACTTGACTGAGGTGACCTCTACACTCACTCACCGACTCCAGAAGAGAGTGACGGCTGACCTTCAGTGTGACCTTTGAATGAGGTCTCTTCATATGCACTTGACGCAGTTCTCGTTGAAAAAAGTTCACTTTGTCCTGGAAGGTCTCTGAGCCTCCTGGGAACAGCGAAAGTTAGAGTCAGGTCTGAGCTGTCAATGCTTGGAACAGTAAGAAGGCATTCCTAAGCCTAACTGCTTTACAGTCCAAGAGTTCGTTACAGCAACATTTGGGACAGAACTCTAAAGTTAGTCTGCAGTTATTCTTGCTAACGTTCAAATACTCACAAGTGTGCTTTAAAAGAGCATTACAGGAAAGCCAAACTGAATAGGAACAGATGGCACAATGAAATATACTGACTGAAAGCACCAACAGCAACAGAGTATGAGACTGCAGGAATCACTGCATTCTCAAAGTTCATTCAGTGCTGATACTCTTCATTGCCAAGCACTCGAGTCTGCTAGTTTTGCTAACTTCCCAACTACTATACCTACCTCCCTACCCTTTTACCTATGTTTTTATGCAGAGAGCGAATGAAAGTGGCTGCCAAGATGTTCCTCTCCTTGCAGCTGAGCTCCACAGGGGGTTGGATCCCATCATCTACCACCAGTGTCAGTAGTTTGTGCACAGGGTCAGGACCAAGATATGAAAACTAGAAGCAAAAAGATGCAAGAAATGGTAAGCATCATGCAGATAAAAGAATCGTAGAACCCTTAAGAGTTGGAAGGGACCTCTGAAGGCCACCTACTCAAGCTCCTCTGCAACAAACAGGGACATGAATAGCTAGATCAGGCCCACGGCCCTATCCAGCCTCACTTTGAAAGTCTCCAGGGATGGGGCATCGACCACATCACCAGGCAACCCATCCCAGTGCCTCACCACACTCACTGTAAAAGATGCTTTCCTTATATCTAACCTAGATCTACCCTCTTTGAGGTTGAAATCATTTCCCTCTGTTCTATTACCACAGACCCTGCTAAAGAGTCTGTCCCATTTTTTCCCCATAGATACTGAAGGGCCACCACCAGGTCACCACAGAGCCTTCCCCAGGCTGAACAGTCCCAGCTCTCTCAGCATGTCCTCATAGGAGAAGTGTTCCAACAGCACATTCAGCAGACAGAACAAGACCACCTGCACTCTCAGATCTTCTCTGCCCACTCATGTAGAGGCAGTCAACAAGAACACTGCTTCTAAGTATCTGGGCTCCAGTTGGGAGTCTGCTTCAAAGCTTGCTCCCTAACCAACAGGCTTCAGTGGACACAGTCACAGCATTTTAATAAGGTTATGAGGAAAACAATAAAAATGCAAGAGAAGGCATGATTTTCGCTTCAACCTGGGACAAAAGGCAGGAAGGACTAACAGAACTAGTTTCTACTCAAATAACAGCAGAATTAAGGCAGTGAGACAGCATTCCAGAGTCTGAATTTTACAAAGCAAAGCTTTGCTCTGTGTCTGAAAAACCTCCTCTCCAAAAGGGAGAAAAACAGATTCTCACTCCCAAGGACTTCTCACAAGGAGAGACTCACCTTTGTACCAGGACATACTCGAAAGGTGAAAAGGCGCCATGGAATGATCTTCAGGTAGAATTCTTTCACTGAGAATTGCTGAGTAACCACAAGGAAAATAAAGTGTTAAAGGTCACTCAATCATTAAGGGGTCTTCCCCAAAATGCTTGAGAAATAGAGCAATCCTAGGGTCAGGCTTCTGCAAACACTGATGACATCTTTTCTCTGCTACAATACTTAAAGCCTTTAAAACTAGCAACAGCACACAGAAGCTTAACTTGTTAGCAAGAGTTGACCATGAACACTTACAAGGCATGTAAGATACAAATTATACAGCAATAAGCCATTGTGTTCAGTACAATAGCACCAGTCTAATCACAGGGTACTTAATGTAAGTACCCTTGAGAGGCTGAATTCAAGACAACATTGTAACACAAGTTCTGGGAAAAAAAAAAAATTATCACATTCTGCCTCCCAGAACTCTTGCTAATATCCCCTTAATTTTGACAACCATTTCAAACTATTTTGGAAAAGCATTTGTAATTGCTAAATCCAGGAGATTTGGGAAAAACTTCTTTCCAGTTCATATCTGGCTGAACAAATAACTGCTAACTGTGGAACTGTCAGCTTCCAAAGAGCAAGCTAAGATGAAATTTTAGTATCATTTGATGAAAAACAAAATCATTCTTTGCACTGCTCTAGCTGCAGTAACTGGAGAAAAAATGATGAGTGGCATTTCTTCACTGAGCAATTATACAACAGAAGCTGAGCAAATATGAACAGGAACATCTTAAATAACAGCACAGTTATCTATCACATGGGACAGATGCTCTAGGCATATAAAGGGAAATCCACGAATACAGTTACACAAGCATCAGAAAATGCATCACCAACTTTGGCATCTGAAGAGAACCTGCATTGGTACGCGCTTCTGGGGAACCCCTTTAGCAAATAACACAACAGAGAAGTCTACAGAAGTCCAGAATGACTCTCAAAGAATAAAAGGATTCAAAGTTCCTAAGGGCCCGCAACTCATTCCCAAAGTCAGCTCTTCATGGTGCATGCTGTCGAGATCTAGAAATCTCTAGCAACAACCGCCACCATGCAACCGTTTCACAGTTCTCTCTCTGTTAGATAAACAATTCCTTGATTAGCCTTTTACACCAATACTCATCACTGCATTTTTTCAGCATGCATTCAGATTAATAGATTTGCAAAGTGAACTTATTAGCAGATTCAGTGGCATTTTCTTTCTAGCTTCCTTGAAAGTTTGAAGGCAATAAGAAGGGATAATGGCTTCTGCTGACATTCTTATAATAAGGGAATCCTCATTTTGTCTCACTTGTTAGAATTCTCTTCCTTCTACTTATCCACACTTCATCCTCTGACTACTTTTTTTCTTTTACTTTCTCAGTAACTGTCAAGAAAAAGGATAAAGCCATAAAACCTAATAAGTGTCTTAGTTCAGGTCTAGAGGCATTAGAAACTGACAAACGGAATTGCTAGTCTGACCTGACCAGAGCAAAGGAAAGGCCAAAGTCTCCTGAACAATTTGTGACAAAATTCCTATAAAGCTTTGATGAGACTTAGAAAAACAGAATAGCAAAGCTTCACAAAGTTCTCAGCCATGAGCTTTACGTTTGCTGTCCATCCACAAGCAAAACTTTCTCAGCCAGATTTTAGGCACCTAAATCTGAAATTGAAGGTAGGGTACAGGGAATCTCTTCAGTTATTTTGTACTATAAATGCTCCTAAGAGTGGTATCTTTGTGGTCATTACCTTAGGAGATACATAGCAATACACTTTCTTAGGTTTCTTCACTTTCTCAGGAGTTTGGCTGTCAGAAGGAGAATCTTCATCTTCATCCTCAGTGGCAGTAGAAGGACGGCGCTGGGAGGAGCTTAGATGTGTTGGTGGAAGGTGCCACTGGGTGTTGGTGTAATTAGAAGCTTCATAAAGGTAAGCTTCAAAGTAAATACTGACACCCGAGGTGGAGACATTGCGTTCTACGATGTTCTTCTCGTTCTCTAAAGGAAGTGAATAAGGGTTGTGTAAATCTTAGTGCAGCCCAGAATCAAAAAATAGATAATCCATAGAACATGACTGCATGGGAACTGCTAAGTCACAGCCTGAACCTCTGACTGATCACCTGAGGCGAGCAATGAGTCAGTCAGAGGAGCACAGGTGAAGGCAATTCCTATTAATTATGTTTATTCCTAGACCTATTTAAGAGCTGGCTACCAGTGGGGAAGGATTTCTTCTGGAGATCTGCTCTGCTGGAGTTCTGTAAGTGAGCCCAGGATAGGGGTAAGCTTTCTATCTATGTTTTTTTTTTGCTATCATTATCTGCTTTGCCTAACTCTCTTGTTTATTTTGTAATTATACCATCTTAATATTCATTGATTATACAATGACAAATTAGTCAGCTTTAAGGTAGTCAGATTAAAAGGAAAACAAAACAAAAAGAAACCAAAAAAAAAAAAAAAAAAACAACCAGAAAGCTAACATCCAGAAAAAACCTGGTGACATGAAGTTACTAAAGTGAAACCAGGAACAGGATGTAAGAGTTTCATGGTAGCATTTTGGCCACCCTGGCTTCAGATTGTTACTAGTCTTTGGATTTATTTTTTTTTTTAATTATTGTTATTATTTTGGTTGGTTGTTTCTTTAAGAAAATAGCCAAATACTTCAAGAAACAGCCAAAGCACATAGGTTTCATACAGTGATCTTCATTGCTACAGCTCAGTATACAATACAAAGCCAGCTCGCTGTATGGCTCAGACGCAAAAGAGTAGGAAGCAATAAAAGTTGCCTAATTTCAGAGGTAAATCTCGTGAGACATGCAAGAGGACACATGTTGTTTTATCTGAAGGTACAGAGAACATCACTCTTCCAAGATCTCCCTTGTCAGCAACAAATTCATTTAGCTTAGCATTTTTAAAAAGAATAGGTATTCCTTGAGCAACTAAGCATGGCTTGCCTGCAGGAATGCTATGTTTAACTTTGCTACAAGACTTCATGTAGCATTCTGCAGTGGGGCACTCAGAGAATAAACACCGCGCAGCTCTTGACTCACCACTCAGAACAATGATGTCAAAATCACCATTACTTATGGGCTGGTTCTGGTAGGAGATGCAGGCATGGAAACACCCCCTACAGTGCAAGGTGAATCGGAAGAACACTTGGCAAGTCTGCCGGTTGGATACCACAGATTTCTCAAACACAACGTCAGAGTTCTCTTCTTCTTCAGGACCCAGCTAAACAGAAAACACAAAACAGAGGACAATTCTCTCTTGTTCACGTGAAATGAATTGGCAAGGGATAAAGCTGCACTCACCTCATGGATGGAGAGACTGTAATTGTGCTCATCAATAAGGGACACAGAATTGCTGGTAGGATTGTCATACTCATCTCTGGGAACTATCTGCAGGGTGTGCTGCTGCCCACAGGTCAGCACCAGAGTGGAGAAATGGCAAACAATTTTGGTTTTGGAGGGAACCACCATCCCTGGGGTAGAAAAAACAGTGTAGAGTCAGAATGCCAGGTGCTGCTACAAAGAAAAAGCAACTAGGGGCACAATCCACTTGAAAACTGATAAAGCTCTCAAAAGATTTCACGTCCTTAGACTCAAAAAACAAAGAATCTGAGCACTGAAATGCATAGCGTGAGGCAATGGAGACACCTTGGATTAGAATCTCAATACCAATAAAAGAAACCCAATCAGTCACCAGCCCTCCAAAGAATGCCCTTTTCTTCATTCTGACCTTCAGCTCAGAAGCTTGCCCACACTGCAGTTACAAAGCACAAGTCAGCTGGCATCCAAGGAAACCTGCAAACTCAGTTTATCAAACAAAATTAATCCTGAAGGGTATCTGAATTAAATCTGAGCTCCCTCTTTCTAAGGGGTCATCCTAGCAAGCTTTCTATCTATTTATAATGCAACTTAACAGAGAAACTTTCAGTGAAAATGCGCATGAAATTCAGAAGATTCTGATGGAGTTCAAAAAGCAAAAGTAGAAAAAAATTAAAAGCGTAAAAAAAAAAGCAGCTCAGAGAAATAGTGTGGAATATTCAAAAAAGGAAAGGAATCAAATCAAGGGAATCTTTTCAGCAGCATTATCAGTACAGGATACCTTTGCAAAAAACATTCTCCGGCTGCTAGACGGATCACAAAGAATTTATTACAGAATTGAGAATATGCCACAGATGGTTAGAGAGCTTAAGAACTAGTGACTTATTCTGCAAGGCAGCTTCTGTTTTGCCACGTTCTAGTAGTAGAAAGTATGTTTTAATCACAGGTCTGTTGCTGGGATTTATACATGGCTAGAGGAAAATCGTGAAAGGTAACCCTTTCCCAGCCACCTATCTATTTTATTTGGAAATACATACACCTAATTCCTTTCAATAATTCCACATCCTACTTTTTGAATCATTACAGAGCTACCTAGACCTTACCTGGCTGAAACACCTTGTAGTAGGGGCTGTAGGCCACATTCAAGCCACCGAGTTTTATAGAGATCTCATATCTCCCAGCCCTGCGCACAGTGAAGGCCACTTTCACCACATTGGAATTAGGCTCCTGAAGAACTTCCTGGGTTACAGGAATATCAATTGCTAGCGCCACATGGCAGATGTGAACTCGCAGCCCCAGAGGCCGGTGAGCAGGGAAGGGCTGCCCATTCTTATAGAATAACTGCATGGGAAATGGAGAAATTCAGGTCAGCAAAAATATGCAGTGCACAGAGAGACAGAAAGCAAGTTGCTTTGCAACCGGGGGAAACGAGCATAAGAACCCCAGCTCAGCATAGGAGACAAAAACGAACAGACAGCTCTAACGCACGGGCTGTGTTCTCCCAAACAAACAGGGCACAAGTGGGCGTCGAAAAACCACATTCTCTTTTTAGTTGGGGTTCACATGAGTGACCCAAAAAGTAAATGCCTCTGGGCATTTCTTCTCTGCGATGTTAGTCTGTATCAGAACAGAAACCAAGAGAATCCACTACCCAAGGAAAAAAGGCAAAGCTATGTCCTTTCAGAGAAACAAGCAGATCTTGTCCATCTGTGCTCAGCTAAACTCTCCTCAAGTTTGCATAGAATACCATGCAGAAGATGTTTATCAAAGGAGTTGACTGAATGCACGCAGATAAGAAGCATTGGCACAAAAACAACACAGACACAGCCAGTTCCATCACAGCAGTTATCCAATTTTAGAAGGTAATGCACCTCAGCCGGTACTTCCTTGCATGGAAAGAATTACACCTCAAAATCCTAAGAACTTGCAGCCTGTAGATTAGATCCTGCCTGCTGTCAGCAAACAGTCTCCAGTCAGCAAATGTTACTATTATTCCCTGCTTCTAAACAGTGCAGGGCCTGAAGTAGTATGTGTATGGGCTGACAGGGAAAGTAGCCAGTGCTTGCAACAGCTACTGTTGATGAAATAAAGGACTAAGCAAATGTGAGACAAGCATGGCATGCACAAGCAGGTTGCTGGAGCTGCCATGAATGAGTCAGTGAGGTGAAGGGAGTAAATTTAAATAGCAAGAACAGAACAAGTCCCTTCTAGCTTTTTTAATTCCCTGTTCTGGTATTAGAACCCCTTCTCATTTACCATCAAGTAAAACGGTTTTCCTCACCTCAAAATGATATCATAATTGAAACTTTCTTCTTACTTTGATACCTTTCTGGCTGGGTGGGGTGGAATGCCCAGGAGCTCAACAAAACTTGCTCAAATGATCCTTACATAGCTCCAGACCCTCAGTGTTCAGGCCCCTCATGAATCTCAATTGTATTCTTGATCCATTCAACTAAACTCAACCTTCCACGAGTAGGGGGAAACCAGAGACCTTGGCAAGCTTTTCCAGATCAAAAGGAATAACACTCAGTTTTTGAAATAACTCTTCTAACGGTATGGGGAGAAGCCACGAGGCCTCACAGCTCTAGGGTTGTTAAAATGCTCAGTGTCATGCTCCTGGCTTCAGCTGCATGACCAAAAAGATACAAATGACCAAGTCCGCTGAAGGCAAGGCTCAGCCCACTTGTTTCCCAGCAAAGGAAGCAGCAGCAGGAAAAGCCTGATCTCCTCTAATTATTTTGAGGATCCTACAGAGATTGTGATCAGGTTTTATAGGAGAGCAACCTTTGGATATGCACTTACTGAGTTCTGTAATACATTAATAGGGGAGAATACAAGAACAGCTAGCTTTCCTACTCCTAAGTTGGTCTCAATTAGAAAGGAGGAAAAAAAAAAAAGCATTTGAAGAGCTCATCCCTAACTCAGACCTACGTCCCCACCCCAGAGATGTTTGGAAACAGAAATACTCCCTTACATGCACTCGGAAGGCCATGCTATGGCCCACCTCATGGGGCTCCTTCCAATCCCAGGAGATCTTGCAGGACCGGGGATCCAGGTAGTTGCCTCGCACGTAGTCATAAATAGTTCGCTCCCCTCGGCGTTCCCGGTCCTCATGCTGAAGGAAGCTGACTATACGTGCGGCAAGCTCAAAGAGGAACTTAATGGTGAAGAAGAAGGCTACCACAGATACTGTGATCCCACCTGCAGCAAGGAGAAAACAGATGGTCGTTGCAGTAGCATGATGAATCAAGCACCGAAGTCACATCCTCGCTATCCCAAGATGCCTTTTATTAATGACATTCTACTCAACTGCAAATTAGATGTTCAAGGCAGAAGTTATTGTGCAAGCATTTACGGATTGTGTTATGCTAGAAGTTAAGTTAGCAAACAACGCATCCCTTAAAACACTGCAAATGATTGCAAGTGGAGGAGAAATTGGCAAAGGTGGTACGGAGTCTCAGGCATGGCCAGCAAAAACACAAAATTCTCTCTGAGTTGCAAATTAGAACTACAGAGATTTCTTTAAGGAAAACAGTAGATAGCCACACAAACCCTGCACATCACATTAAGCCTGGGTTAAGAAGCATCATGGAGGCAACAACCCTACACTAGTTCTGAAGAGAAAAAGGGCATGGCTTAGGAGTGAGTTCAATGGAAGAACTTTGGAAACAAGAAGAATGGTAAAGGGGCAAGTCTGCCAAATGGAGGGCACAGTGCAGGGTGACAATAACTTCATGTTTGTTAGGTAGACTCTAACACGAAATCGAAGGCTTTCAGTAAATTCCTCTAACGCCTACAGGGAGGTCAACAAACACAGTGGCAGCCTTTCCTTCACTTACCAATAATGTAAAACATCAGGTCCCTTCGGTGAGACACAAAGCCGAGGATCACAGCTGCATCTAGAACACAAAATAGGCCAAGTCCAGACCAATACCTCTTCCTCACATACACTGGCCCAAATTTAGTCTATGATTCCTCAGACAAATACCTATCATCTATCTTCCTCTCCAAGGACATCTTTAAGGCATTATTCCATAAGACTGAAATATACAAACAACGTGCTAAAAGGAATAGTTCTTGCACCATCACAGATAGCTGTTCTGATTCAGGGACCCAAAAGGACAACGTATTATCCTCAAAAAACAAACAGTGGGTTTGCAGTACTGAAGCATGAGCTAATTTTGCAGGATTTCAACAAAAATATCTGAAAGCCACTCATTGGAAATCTCAAACCTAGAGGAATCAAGTCATGAAGTTAACTTCCAAACTACCATGAAAGTGCATAACAGAGCCAACACCAAAATGGACAGAAACTGACCCTCAACCAGCAACTTTAGAAGAAAGCCTATGGAATAAAAAGGATGTGGACCAGACCATTCTGATCGATTGAGAACAAAAAATCCTCCTAGAGCAGGGATGAATCCATTATTTTTTTTCCTGCCTTGTGCCTGTACTGTAGAAAGTAGAAAAAAATCTGTCCACCTCTGTGTACTCACTTCTGAAAAGCAAAAACCCTTGCTGATCAACTCACAAGCTAAAACCTTGATTTTTGCACACTTAAGATAACAGCAATTTTCAGAGTCACCAATCTAAAATTAAATTCTCACTGAGGGAGGTGCTAAACAAACATGTAGTAAAAAGACTACACCCTGAACAACATGTTCATGGTTGATAAGACACAGCTGACAGATGGAACAAGCAGTAGCAGCGAATGCGTGCGACAATCAGACAAACAACTTGGCATACACTAATGCATCCAATATAGCTCACCAAGTCACCATTCAGTTAGTGAGAAGCTACATTGTGCATTCAAACTGTCTTTAAAGAAAAAAGAATATACACACAAAGGGGGAGTTATTCGGCAGTCATCTCAACAGCAGCAGCAATGGACACCAGCATGCAGAAGGCTTAAATGAGGCATATATCCCCCTGGGCCACAACAACGGCCATCATCTTCCAGCCCAGCAAATGCCCCCCACATACACTCCATCCCCCTGGCTAAACAGCTTACCTTTATGCAACTGCCCATGTTCTAAAAACCAAAAGGGTGGTACCCATTCTTCAGCATCCTTCCTCCTTATGCCCAACAGTGGGGCAAATGTCAGCACAAAGAGGCCATAAAAAAGTCTGTCACAGAAAATGGAACTCCTGGAACTTGCATCACAGGAAAAACTGCTCAAAGGTGAGGACCTGAGCACAGCAATCTCTTCCTCTTTGCGGAAAAAGGTTGCCCTGAAGCACAGCTCCCTGTAGCCTGTAGTTTGCTAGCCTCCCTGGAAAATGAAGAAGAAGTAAAGTTAGATCTTTCCGTCGCTGACAACAAATCTAGCAAGTGCAAACAGGTGAGAGGTGCACTGCAAGAGTATCACTAGATGTCAAATCCACAGAAGCAATCCTATGAAGATACCACAGTCAGTGAAGCGCTTGGCTTCAACATGTTCTCAGTCTCCACATAACACTCTCATTCCACATGATCTATTAAACTGGAAAGTTCAAGACAGAAGTAAAAGCAAATAAATAACCTGTCTCCATAGGTTTCATCAGGCTCATGAGTTTCCCAAGCAGCCAAGAAGCTCTGAGCTACTCAAAGCACAGGGAGCCAGTTGTGGCTCCAAGCCTTCATGTGCCACAGGACACTTTATGCTATCCCAAACTAATTTTTGCTGATGTTTTAAGGGTTCAGAAAAGAAGTTCATAAGGCATTTCAGTTTCAGCAGCACTGTCCCCTAAATCACAGTTTACTGTCAGAATTCAGATTTTAATAATGAAAATAATATAAACCAAATAATAATAATAATAATAATAATAATAAAAATAATGAAGTAATAGAAAAGTAAAATCCAACAGCATGAACATATGTCTCTTATTTCCCTCCACCCCAATAATCAAAAGCCAACTGCTTCTGCACACTTCCACCCAGGCTCTAAGCTTTCTAACTCACTGGCAAAACAATGGGTAACTTTTTGATTGTGCTGCAGAAGTCAGACTCTTGCTGCCTTCTCTTCCCCCACATCTCAGGGAGAGTCCCACCCACACTGCTATTTTCTTCTCTCTGGTTGAGTGAACAGTGTTGCAGTCCCCGGGGGCATAAGCTCTTAAATTTTCCCCTTAAATAATGTTTCAGGTCTATAAATTCTTATCTCTGTATATTAAGAATCACAGATTAGCAATTTCTTCGATGTTTAAGTTATTTCACAGTATATCTCCAAGATAACATCAAAGTACAGAGTCTTCAGTGCTTGCCTGTGTGCTACAAAAGCCTGCTTGAAACTGCCCCTTAGTGGATTGGCAGTGAAAGGGATGCATTCCCCTGCACAGCTGCAGAATTTCACAGAAAGTTATCAATGCTTTGGAATCTGTGAGATCCCCTCCCAGCATCTTACAGAATCTGCTTTTTTGGGTCACCAAAAAGCATCAAACTGACACCACTGGTTCATCTACCCATTCTACTCTCAGCCCGTAACTCCTTTCTGTAGAACACACTGCAAGTAACAGCCTCTCTACAGAAAGGAGAGAAAGAGCTGTAATTCCAACTACAGGTGTATCTGAAGACAACAAAATCCTCTTGGTTGGGATTGCAGAACTTCAGGATGATTCCCTGCATCTACAAGCCATTGCCTTCAATCAGCACAGCTACTTCTCATCCTATCATCTCCACGTGAAGTGGCAGGCAAGGCGCCAAGCCGGGCAACCAGCAGAGATGAAACAGCCATGGCACAGTTGGCTTCCCTGGAGCACACATGCCAGCAGCAGCTTTAAGGATGCTCCTTGGGTAACGTTCCTAGCTGTGAGTAGCTAGTATTCAAGATAAGCTGCAGCATACACAGCTAAATTAAAACAGTATCAGTGCTAAAAACTGCCAGCTAACAATCTGGGAATCTAATTCATAAAAGCAGCAATACAAGGTGCCATCATAACTAGGCTGAGAAATGCTGAATTGACCCACAGGTCCCAGTGATCTGAATTGAAAGACACAGCAGACAATGGTCTCCTGCCACCTGCATGGAAAATGGGGAATCAAAAAAGCTTCACTGTAGTTCGCCTCAAGAAGTCTTTGCACAATTAGATAGACAGCCAGGAATCATAAGATAAACATTAGTGCCATTGCCTCTCTCATGGCAGAATGGAAAACAAGACCAGTAACAAGAATAAATTTTGTTTGCATTACTGCTGCTGTAAAGTCAAGGGAACACAGGACAAAGCTCCAGGAAGCAGCACCAATATATCCGTGCATAGGAGCTATAACAACGATGCCACATTCACATGGCTACAGCTACAGGGCCAGCTGGGATTTAAAAATGGTTTAAAAGCCTTTCTGTAATTTGGTATTGCTCCAGAATCATTAAGATGACAGAGTTTCACACCTCTGAGCAGAACATCCCTATCCATGCATGCAAACATCCACCACCAGCACCCACTGTGTCTCATGCCACACACACCACACACAAGACAATTCTCCTTCAACCAAGAAGGTGCAGTATTTTTTTACATTAATTAAAGTATGCACAGAAGGACAAACAGAAACTTGGCTTTAAAATACACTCATGGAAGACTGAAGAGTCAGCTCAAAAGGCACAGAGCACACTCAGCCCTCAAGGACAAAAGCCACAGCAGTGACAAAGGTATCCACAACACAAATCTGCCCTTCTCTGTTCATAGCCAGCATTTATCACACATGCATTTACACGCAATTCCAAAGAAATATATGCAACATAAAATAATATAAAATAAGATAGCATAGGGAAACCTCAGTCAGTTATCCAAGGACTTTCCACGGCAGGTGAACGACAACAAGGACAGCAAGCTGTTTTCCCCAGGCCAAGCAGGTGCTGCTTTGCAGGGCCCTCCTGTAGGCTGCCCCTTCCCCTGGGCCGGGACAAATCTCTCATGCAGTACATTGGTGCTGCAGAGCTGATTTGACCAGCAAGTCAAGCAAAGCTGGCCACATTTAGGAGATACCTACAGGTTTCAGTAACCTCAGAAAAACCCACAGTGAAGACAAGAGCCACGAGTCCTGCCTCACTCAGTCCTCGTGCACAGGGTACCAGAACCCAAGCGCAAGGACATCATAAGCATTTCCTTCCCCGTGCAGGAGGGCTGTTACAGATCAAGTCGCACCGCCAGCAGAAAGCACAGCTTAGTAAGACTGAGGGCCACAGACCCTCCAAAGAAGCACAGGTATCAACATCCCCTCTGCTCTCCTCGAAGCCCATCAGCACAGCACCTCCAGCACGGCGCCGTTTCCCAGCGCACGTCAGCCCAGCGAGCTTATTAAAGAGCTGCATCCTCTGCTCCTCCGCTCAGCCCGGTGCCCGTCACCGCGAACAGAAGTGGCTCCGGGCCTCGGGAGGCCCCCGGCTCAAAGAAGCAGCCCCGAACTCGGCTGTGGCAGCAGCGAGCGAGAAGCGAAGCGGCCGCAGCAAGCCGAGTTCAGCGCTCGCGGCCCCGAGCCCGATGTGCCATCCTCTACGCACTGCGGTGCCACCCGCCCCGCCTCGCCTCACCCCGCTCCCAGACCGGCAGCACCCTTACCGAACACCCCCCTGACAGAGCCGCGAAACCGATGCCCCTTGCCGGCGGCCGGAAGTGACGAAACTCCCGGTCCTCTCAGGGGGCGGGACTTGTGACGCACATTGACGACGCCGGAAGTGCTGGCTGGGCAGCATGGTGAGGCGAGGCGGGCCGGGCCGGGCCTTTGGGTCTTGGGTCTTGGGTCTTGGGTCTTGGGTCTTGGGTCTTGGGTCTTGGGTCTTGGGTCTTGGGTCTTGGGTCTTGGGTCTTGGGTCTTGGGTCTTGGGTCTTGGGTCTCGCTCATCCGCGCCCGTGTCTCCTTATAGGGAAAGCAGAAGAAGGCGCGGAAGTATGCGGTGATGAAGCGCATGATCAGCCTGCGTGACCAGCGCATGTGAGTGTAGCCCGCTGCTAGGCCGACTCAGGCGGCGCCCCGCAGCTTGGCGGCCCGTTCGGCGGCGCGGGGGTCCCACTGGGGCTCGTCGCTGCCCCGCTCCAGCAGTGCGCGGACTTTCTTGCAGAAATGAGAAAGAACGGGCCAAGGCCCCCGCCAAAAAGAAGAAGGAGGATCCGAGCGCCATCAAGGAGCGGGAGGTGTAAGTGCCGCAGTGCGGGCCTCCTGGAGGGTGTCGGCCTCGTAGCCCTCCTTCGTTGTAGGATTTGGTGTCATGTCGATCACAGTTAATCGATTTGTATTCTTCCCTACAGCCCCCAGCATCCCTCCTGTTTGTTCTTCCAGTACAACACGCAGCTGGGGCCTCCTTACCACATCTTAGTGGATACCAACTTCATCAACTTCTCCATCAAGGCTAAGCTGGACCTTGTGCAGTCTATGATGGACTGCCTCTATGCCAAGTGTGAGTGTCTGCCTCACTTGCAGATTCCAGGTTACATAGTGCCATGATGTGTCCATGAATCACCTATTTGGCCTCACCACATTAACTGAGGGTAACAGAAATATTTAATAAAATATGTACTATAATCACAGAGCTTGTTGCAGATGGCCTGTGGTAGCCCTGAGACTTTGTTTTCTGACAGTCAGTGGTTTTAAATACTAATACTAACGTAAAGCAGTGGTATTTTAAAAATCTGAAATTATCATGGATTTGTCCAGTTGCTGCTCAGTGGCTTCACATTTCATCACTTTGTATCTTTAGCAGATCTTAGAAGTTTAGAACTGCAAACAGTGGGTTACAGAGCTCATGACAACTTTCTGAGCTGTGCTGTTGAGATCTGTACAGAAATACAGTTTTGTTCTAATACAGGCTTCTAATGCTGTCATTTTTGCATGTAGGTATTCCATGTATCACAGATTGTGTAATGGCTGAAATTGAGAAGTTAGGACAGAGGTATCGCGTGGCATTAAGGTACGTGCACACTATTCCTCTCTGCTTCTAGAACTTTGTATTTTAATACAAAGGAGACAGACAAGAAGAAATGAAAGAAATTTGCTATGATGGTGCTCTTGTACAAATGGATTGTAGGTCTTGAACTTGATTTTATTTCTCTGGCTTTCTGAGTTCAGTTCTTTGAGTTCAGTTTTAGATCACTTTGAAAACTTATATACTAGGTATAAATATCCAGCTATAAATTTTTTTTTTTCCCCTCAGACCTTCTAAATAACATTTTCTTCTTTTTCTCTAAATATTTAATTGTAAAAATGTATAAAAATAACGAAAAAAATGACTCAGGTCTTCTGGAACTTTTCACTTATGCCTCATATTTTTCCTCTTGCAGTAGGTAGCATGTAGTG